TTCCTTTCGGGCTTCGCAACCAAAATTTTGTACGCTTTATTCATTTCCACTGCGCGCCCCTCCCATCTCATCTTCCTTGATTCGATAATTCTGATTTCTGGTGGAGAGTACAATTTATAATATTCGAGTTTTCCCACCCTCGAGGCATTTCGTCCGTCTATGCGACAGACCACGTTTTACACCCATACAATCTTTACGTCTGCATTCAGCACACAGGAAGGCAAAAGATTCTAACTCCTAAAGACTCGCAGCTTGCAAATCGTTTTCCTGCTTTGATTAGTGTTCGTGCAGTAGATTTGTGTTTGCAGTTAGTAAACACCAAGGCCAGCGACTATGCAGAACTGAGAATAACTCGTTTTGAAAAATGTTTTCGTGGCCTGCCCCATGCTGTACAACGCTTGCAGTCCCGGGGGACCGGAAGGGTCACCTATTTTCTGACCTGCTATTGTGAACAAATGAATAACGATGCTACGGAAATATGAAGGACACGGCTCTTGGTATATTGGCGGTGGTGAACCTCAGGTTTCCATGGCAACAGGGAAATTCATATGGCCCCCTGTTCTGATGTCGCCTCCGTGCGATTTCCGTGTCCAGTGCTGTATGCCCGGTGTAACCTTCGGTTCCCTCCCACTTATAATTTTTCGCGGGGAGACTATAATGTGTCGTGTAAACGACGACAATCTGCAATTTTGTATTTACAAAGTACCACGTGGTGTCTGCTCTTATCGATTCGTGCAGGCTCCAGACATCGATAACCCCATCTTATGGGACTCGCCCATTATCAGTTATCATAATTCTGTGCACGAAACTCATTTAAGTAATCAGCCCGTACCTCAAAGAAAACACGAGTCTCGATGACAACGCAATTTCAGGAAATTATTGATGTTTACAGTGGAAATAACACGAAACCCATAAATATGCTCTGTGGCCAGAATGCAGATTTACCGAATGTTAGAGGCATGTGGTACGTATAGTTACCATTCTGTTTTGAAGGGTTAAAACTTTGATGCTTTAGATCTGAAGCACTATTTCAAAAAGTTCCTTTCCGAGTTCTTTCGTTTTTGCTTGGCTGCTAGAAGAAGGAGAAAGTTACGATATTTACAGCAGAAAGCAACTTCAGTTTCCACAGCCGAACCAATTTAGCGTTTCTCGCATTAGGTAACACGTAATGAGACACATTCGAAAATGTCAAAAGCATCATCACGTATTTATTTAGTGTTCTGTGTGACGACAGGTCCATATGAACAGGATCCTTCCATCCTTTTCTCGGACTGGGACCTGTTCATATACGTTCTTGGCAGATGATCCAGAAGTGGTTTGCCATTGCCTTCGTCTGTGTGTGAATGGAGTAATTGTTGCCACGGAGAAACCGGGGAAGCCCCCGGAGGAAAACCCCGTGTTGCCTAGACCACGATCTTGCCCAACACAAGTTATAAATTCCGGCACCTTCTTGGCAGATGATCCAGAAGTGGTTTGCCATTGCCTTCTTCTGTGTGTGAATGGAGTAATTGTTGGGATGCCACGGAGGAAAACTCCGTGTTGCCCAGACCACGGCCTTGCCCAACACAAGTTATAAATTCGGGCACCGCCGGGAATCGAACCCGAGACCCCAGGATTACAAGGCCAGCGTTCTCACCGCTAGACCACCGTAACAAATGAAAAATTGTCTGCGTCACTCGACCGGGGAGCGAGTTCCTCTCTTCCAGAAAAGCGACACAGACCTGTCCCCCTCCGCCCATGCCATGGAAACGTTCTAAATTTGGTCCACAGTCTTCCAGTACTCGTGCGTTATCTTTTTATTTCAACATTCCTTTCCTCCTCTGAAACTTAGAGGCTCGTTGCCAGCAGACGGTACTTAGAGCCGCCCGCCAATCAGAAGTTGCCAGCCACTACACACCCACGATTCCAACCAATAGCAAGAGCTGGTTCGTGGTTGAGCCCCCCTGTGATGTAAACGCGCGCCACGTACTTAACATGATACAGCGGTCAATACAAGCTCCAGAGCCTCGAGGAGATACAGAAGTCAAGTCGTGTGTTTCATTAGAGGATGCCGTTCTTGAAAAGATCCGTGAGTAATCAATATTTCTTTTATCTGGTGGACGATTTCAGCTGCGATCTCACGAAAGCAGGTGTATCTTCAAATGGTGTCGTGAGGCATGACTTTGTAGAGCGTACGTCGACAAATAGACGTGGCTTTATCTTAAGATATGTGTTGTTTACATTGGTTCAGGCGGGAAAGGTGTCCAGATATATGGCAACGCAATGAGGAGGGTACCAACCAGTAAGCTGTAGTGCATTCGTCAAAATTTCGATGTACCCTCATTTGTTAAAGAAGGCTTCGTGACGTTAGATGTCTTTAACGCTTATGGACTCGTGTGGTTTTTAAAAATAAACTTGTCGTAAATGTTGGCGCAGATTTCTTGCACCAAATTTCGGTCACATCAGGGTCCAGATGTTTCATGAGGACAGTGCCGGGGGGGTGCCCCCCCCCCCCCCCCGTAATTTCACCACTGGACCCCCCTCGACCGAGTTCAGTGAGTTTTAGTGGTGTTGGAATGTCTTCAGATTTGATCTGCCTGCGACGGACTCGACTCGGGTCGACATTCAGGGCAGTCGCGTTAACCGATTAATCGTTGTCAAGGAGACTCGTGTTTACTTTGAGGTACGGACTGAATTTGTAAATGTTGCTTGGACGAGATTCGACTTCGTGGGGTTGAAAAGCTGATAGAAACAGAAATATTTCGTTTAATATTCACTGTATTGAAAACAGTATTATCCTCCCACCTATGTCTGTGTGTTCCTAGTGGTCTCTTCCCCTCTGGTTCGCCCATCAAAACCCTGAATGCATTTCTTTTCCGTCCCACGCGGGCTACGTGCCCTGCCCATCTCACCCTCTTTGATCTGGTCAGTCTAATTATAAATGGCGAGGAGTACGACTTATGAATCTCGTCTTTATTCGAATTTCTCGAGCTTCCCAGTACTTCATCCCTCTTAGGTTCAAATATTCCTCTCGTTCTCAAAGACCCTCAGTCTACGTTCCTCCCTTACACCCATACAAAACCAAAGGCAAAATTATACTTTTGTATTTTTTTAATCTTTACGATTTTAGACAGCAGACGAAACTTTCTGGACAGAATGGTTGCGAGCGTCGCCCGAATTTAATCTGCTTTTAATTTTGAATCCTTACTGTCTCTTCCAAATATCTGAATGATGATCCAAAGGTCCCCAGTCGTAATTCCGCTCTGACATTGAAATAAATGAAAAACCGTGCTGAAGGAAACTTTGTCCGTCGTTCGTGAGCGTCAGTGCGTGGTATCACCCGTTAACCGTTTCGTCACAAACTCGATCTCGTGGTTCGTTCGGCTTTTATTATTTTCGCGAAATCTTGGAAGTTGCATCAGTTTATTGGTGTCGTAACGCTAACACATGCGTGACGTCAGAGTTTGAGGAACTGCAGTGTCAATTGATCGGCTTAGCAAATGGAAATTGCCCGATCATCACATATCATCATAACGCCACTCGCACACGTATTCAGTGTCTGCCGGAATGGAACGAGAAATTTTTATTTTGATTTAGGTACAACGCCATTTTTGTACCCAGAGCCTTCCCAGCGAAGACGTACATTTTTTTTTTGGGGGGGGGGGTTGACCAATGGCAATTTTGGTTTTCTTAATCTGTTGATAGATGTCTGCAATTAGAATGGCGTACTTGAAATATCTAGGCTAATATTACAGTTTATTTTAAATAAGTAATTAAGATTAGGATTTGATTAGACTGTCTCAAGATTGGGTGGAATTTTGTTGTAGTGGCCATGAACGTTCTTATGGTTTCCTAATAATTTCTGCAGAAAAGTTATCTAATTACAGTATAAACTACCAGCGAAGATTTATCACCTCTTAATTGACTTCTGAGCTAAATGAATAGAGCACACGGTATTTCTTGTTAAGAACCAGCTATTCCTAGATCTTCCACGTAGTCTGTTCCGTTCAGTCTCGTCTTCAGCCGTTTAGAGCCCGGTGGTAACTATGTGTACCACCTGCTTTAAGAATAAGTTACTGTTCGCAGCGTTAAAAGCGATTATTTCTTTGAACAGAGTTAACCATTTGATCGTTTTAATGGTGAAGTGTTGTGTTTTCTTCGCGGTACGGACCGAATTCTTAAATACGAGCTTCGGGTTCAAGCCATCTCGACACAGATTTTCCTTGGTTTTCCTCTGTCTTCAAGCAAATGCTGAGATGGTTCCCAAGTTCCAAGTTGCCACTGCAAGCTTCTCATGCAGCCCTCCCGATTTAAATTAATCAAAATTTACCACCCCTTAACGCCGTCAAAATTTACCCCCCTTCCCTCAGTAGGAACTTCTAAATTATGTATTAAACTTCCAAATTAATAGTAGCTATAAGATGCTGTTTCTCCCCCCCAGATATCGAAGTGTCTCTCACTTCCCCCCCACCAATTTCCTCTCTCTCTCTTCAAAGAAAAATTCTGTTGCCCCGCGTGCAACTTTTCTGTTCAGCCTGAATGACTGCCGTGCTTTGGACACCCCTTTTCACGTCAGAGGAATTGTTATGGATTCAGTGAAAGTTTTGTCGCTCGTCTTTGTTGATCATTGCGGGTGGGGGAGGAGGTTGTGTGCGCCCCAAGTTAATGGCCAGTGGAGGACTTCTCTCCTGACTATTCCATAAAACAAGATTATTTTTGTGTGAGATCTGACGTCTATAGTGGCCTTCTGGGTTACAACGCCGAGTGGACTTGGAAGAAGATACCAACGTTTCGGAGGGACATACTGCCTCCATGTTCAGGACTGAAGCAGCTGCTTACAACCCAGAGGACCAACGTCGGCATCCTTACAGCTGTGAAAACCTCCGATGTCTTTGAATGTTTTTTTCTGTAGTAATTCTAGCTGACCGTGTGGACATTAGTGTAACAGCGTTGCAGTGTAGTGCTTTTGTTCTGAAGGTTCCTAGTTCGATCCCTTCATATTTTTGTTGTCCCTGTTTCAGGGTTTCAACGGGCGCCTAGTTTTCGCAATTGCCGCTGCGGCGCTCGGGTCGGCCTTCCAACATGGCTACAACACTGGAGTTGTAAACGCACCCCAGAAGGTAAGGCTTTTGTTTAATTCTCGTATAATTCCGGTGAGATGGGTTGGTAATGCAGTATGAATGGGGAAACAGAAAATGCATAGCCTTATGAAGACGTCTTATGTAAAAAAGGACATTTCGTACATCGAGTCGGATATGAGAGGATAATATTAAAATGGGTCTTAGGACGTGAAATGGAAAAGGGTGACAGCCACACGACATTCAGCTTTAGATTTTTTTGAAGACAAATTCGCCGTTCACTTTGTACCGCCTTGGCCGCGCAGTTTGAATGCGACGTTTCGGTGCAGTGTCAAGCGTTCGGGAGACCCCGACTGTGTTGAATGTTTTCACGGTTTTACTCAGTTTCTCGAGACGCATAATTCTGTATTACCTTGTCGTTCGACGTTCTTGGCCTTCGAAGTTGATGAAAGGTCGGTAAACGAATCTCGAAACGAGATAGAATGGCCGAGGCGATATGTCCGGGTTTTATTATTCGCCTCTAAGTTTCAGCTGTGCCTGCATTAGCAGTAAGAATGACGTTACAAAACAAACGAGTTCAAAGTGACCGGTGAAAACTTTCTAGAGCATTGTCAGCAAACCAGGCAGTTTGGTACAGTCGCCGTAAAGAAATGTGAAAAAAACAATCCCATTATAAGTCGCCTAATATCCATATTTCTTACACACTGCTCAGAATACAGCGTCTTTCGAGGGCCGTTTGTTGCCAAACACTTCATAACAATTGTACCACCCAGACACGGCGTAATGAAACTGAGAGTGAATCTCGAAATGAGGTCGGCTTACGTCACACGTCGGAGTATGCAGACCCGCAGCACAGAGAAGCCATTTGAGTTGCGGGGTCGTCAGGCGCTGTGAGGTAATTGTCAATGCCTCAGTTGCTGGGTTCATGGCTAAAGACTTTCTAATCTGGTTTAATAGTCTGGTCATTGGTGTTTCTGTGATGATACATGATTTGTATTAATCTCAAACGTGGCTCGTTCGAGTTACAACCTTTCCTTAATAAATGTTTCCTATGGGTAATCGAATGAGACAGCGCCATATTTGGTTTTTATCATTGTAATCGTTTGCGCGGTTTCTCAAACTTCTTTGAGGTCTGTAACCTTTGTTTGAGTTGTTTTCCGTCATGGTTTAAATGCAATGAAACTGCATGTAATCTGTGATCTCTGCTTGTCGTCTGTTTATATAACAAACAAATGCTGTTTCGTGATCTTGTACCTTGTGGTATAACGCTTATGAATGTTGTAGCCGTTGCCATGGTGATTCTTGCGTCATGCAGTTCTTATAGATGTAATGGTCCTGACATTGACACTTACGAGCAGCGGGGACGTCGCCCCTCACGCTCCAGAGACGCCTTTCACTGGAAATTTGAATGCCGAATTAATAAAAATAAATTCGCGAATTGATAATCTTTTAATTACTTGAAGTACTCCCTTGTACGTTCACTCAAACTTCGCTTCGTGCTCAATAGCTCAGTCTCGCTTCAAACGAACAGCTGCAATTTGTTATTCTCGGAATGACCTTATTTCTGCACTTGCAAATATTAAATTTCAAAAAAAAAGTGTCTTGCCTCCTGGCACTTTATCAAATGGCCCGCGTGCCTCTGGCTACGACCCATCGTTTTACATTATATTCGCTGTTTTTTTCAGTATCGAGTCCAGCCTGGAATGCGTTTTTCGAAATTAAGTCGCCTGCCCACATTGAGGTTACGACGAAGTCTTAGCTCAACCCTTCAAAGCGAATTGGGATGACATAAGTAACCTGCTTTAACCACCAGCAGCTCTACAAAGCTGGGCGGCTGTCTTCTGGGTTGTATCGCCGTGTAGTCTGATCGCCCTGATGATGGAGGCAGCAAGGACCTCTTTAAGTGACTACACGTTGCTACAACCCACAAGACAGCCATCTTCGTACTCACTGCCGTGGCATTTTGTATTTGTGTTTCGCGTGATTCTCACTGTAAACATCGATTATTTCCTTAAACAGCGTTAACCAGCTGATCTTTGTAATGGTGAAGTGTGGTGTTTTCTTCGCGGTACGGACTAAATTCTTAAATGTAATTAAAGCGAGTTTCGGCTTCAAAGGGTAAACCAGTTGATCTTCGTAATGGTGAAGTGTAGTGTTTTCTTCGCGGTACGGACTGAATTGTTAAATAATGTTTAGATGAACTTTGGCTCTACGGGGTTTAAGGCAGTTGGCTTGCGTTACGTGTTGGGAGGCACATTCATAAATACATTTATTGTCGCAATAAACTACATTTGTAACACAATTACACTTCTGGAACATGAGAACCATCATGATTTGCTCAGACAGTCGTCACATCATTGTTCTGTGCTGCCTACTTCTGACTCCTCACTTCTGTTGCAGCTCATCGAAGACTGGATTAAAGTGACCGAACACAACAGGACAGACCAGGTCGTGGATCAATCGAAAGTGACCATCATATGGTCTATCGCTGTAGCTATCTTCTGTGTGGGTGGTATGATAGGAGGTGCCATCACGGGCATCGTCGGACGGAAGGGCGGTCTCCTGCTCAACAACGTGTTGGTTGCGGTTGCTGCCATCTTTGAAGGTGCGAAGTCCCAGTACTGAATGAGACAAAACATGATCTTTTTCTGTAGCTTCTCTGTTGCTTGCTCATGGAAAAATCTCTTAGGTCATGTTGTCGTTCTTCTGTAGGTGTCTCAAAAGCCGCAGGATCGTACGAGATGATCATCATTGGCCGATTTTTCATCGGTATTAATTCTGGACTGAATGCTGGCCTGGCACCGATGTATCTTGCTGAGATCTCACCAGTTCATCTGAGAGGAGCGGTAAGGCACTCGGAGAAATATTAATTTATGTTGTTGCCGTAAGATATGCAGAAAATTTTTTCATGACATGTAGTTTTATGTGAAAATGAATTTCCGCTGTTGACTCGTTAGATTGCTGCCTTCATTATGAAATTGACAGCGTATTTCTGGGACTTTAAAAGTACTGGTGTAAGAGATACACCAGCTTTATCATCAAATTAATAAACAGATGATTTTCTGTATAAGACACAAGTTCAAAAATGTATGCTTAACTTAACAATTCTGTGCACATCCACTAAAATTTGACCTTTGAACAAGAGAATTATCTGTGGTTAATGACCTTAATATGGGTGGTGTATGTGGCTAGGATTCCTCAAGCTGGAGACCTCCCACTCATTCATTTCAGTGTGCAGAAACACGTGGATGTTCATGTTTAAAGTGCTCATTATTAATGTCTGATTTTAACCACAAATGTAATGTATTTACAGGTTTTAGCAAAATTCCTGAATGTGTAAATCCATAGGAACACTTCTGCTACTTTAGTTGTAGACACGCCTAAAACGAGACTCTGTTATCATTTTGTGTAGAAATGCCGCATGTAATTCAGACTGACGTGATATAACGGAACAACTGGATATTTATTCTGCTATGAAATTTAGCCAAAAATATAAAGCCGTGATATGATCTACGTTTCAGGTTGGTACCGTGTATCAGTTGGTCATCACCATTTCCATCCTGGTGTCACAAATTCTGGGCCTGGAATCAATCCTGGGCACTGAGGAATCCTGGCCGGTCCTGCTGGCAATCACAGTGGTCCCTGGGATCTTCCAGCTGGTCACACTCCCCATCTGCCCTGAGTCACCAAAATACTTGCTGCTTAGTAAGGGACAAGAAATGGAGGCCCAGAGAGGTGATTATTGTGGTTGCCAAGTTTCCTGTATAGAAGTGCAAAGCGCAAGGTAGAATGTTAGTGAATGTGGCAGTTTAGTTGTCGTTTGTTGCTTTTTTGGTGTGTTAGACGTCGGTCATGATGATGCCTTTACTTCCGAGATCGGAGATCGCTGGCAAATTTTTGTAGAGTTTTGGTACTAAATGTTTTGTTAAGACATTGTGATGAGTATTCATGATGTCTTGAGATCAGTAACAAGAGGTGTTTGTGATTCGCTGCTCCAGCACTGACCTGGTTGCGAGGCACTATCGAGGTTCATGACGAGATGGACGACATGCGCAATGAGTATGAGGCGATGAAGCTTGTCCCCAAGGTGACCATCAAAGAGATGTTTGTCAATGCGACTCTGCGTATACCACTCATGATTGCCATGATGGTCATGGTTGCTCAACAGTTATCTGGAATCAATGCTGTAAGTGTGTGAACTTTTCCTTACGTACCTTCATAGCATCAATTTTCAGTATGCAATTCTAAACTTGATTTCTTAATATTTGACACAACAGTATGCTTTAATTAGCTAATGAACTTTTATTATATGGGAACTGTTTATTTAAATCCCTGTAGTCTGTTGTGTAGTGTTGGTGTTAATTGACTGACGAGCGTCGAGTGCAACGAGATGTAGCGAGTGCCCAGTTTTGATGTCATTGTCTCGTTCCAGGTCATGTTCTTTTCGACGAAGATCTTCAGGATGGCGCAGTTGGACGACAAGAGCGCACAGTATGCTACGTTAGGGATGGGCGCGGTGAACGTGTTCATGACGCTTGTGTCGATGGTCATTGTGGAGAAGGCAGGCCGCAAAACGTTGCTGCTCATTGGATTTGCTGGCATGTGTGTTACCACTGTGCTGCTCACCATCAGTCTTGCCTACGTGCAGGTACTTGACAAAAATTGATAGTCAGTTTTCTCATTCTGTGAGGTGCCGTTGACCAGAACACTAAACGGAGGAAATTATTGGAGAGAATTTGACGCTGAAGTGACTGGCCTGGGATCTCAGAAATTGAACAATAAATTAGAAAAAAATTGTGTATAGGGATATGAGGTATGGATATTTAATTGACTGTAGTGATTCTGTTCACGAGATGTCTTTACATTACTCACAGATGCTTCATCTATGACTTTATTCTTAGTTTCTGAAGTTAATGTACAAAGTGATTTACAGGTAGATCCTGATTTAAAGAAATTGTAGCTCTTAGAAGGAAAAAGCTGTGGATATGATACAAAACACACCTTATTGAAGCAAATTTCAAGTGTGCTTTTACAATTTACATTTTTCATAAGTGCTCAGTATGTCTACTGCAAGTTCATTTCAGAGTTGTAATTGATGCAGTTTGAAATTCTGTCCTTATTTTTAATTTGTTTAATTGTGAACTGTTTTTTGTTCCAGAATGCTGCGTTGTGGGTGTCATATGTTAGCATTCTGCTGGTCATCCTCTTTGTAGTCATGTTTGCGATCGGACCCGGATCCATCCCTTGGTTTCTGGTGTCGGAGTTGTTCAACCAATCGGCACGAGGAGCGGCAACAAGCCTTGCTGTTGCGGTCAACTGGACTGCTAACTTCATCGTTGGCATTGGCTTCTTGCCACTGCAGGTCAGTTGGTCATTGAACCTCCTGTTCTTATGAATCCAGAGGTACGCAGATTCATGCGATTTGACCCTTTCTTGGTTCAGTTCACATCTCCACACTGTACTCATCTATGATTTATTTTTATGTTGTATTCTCACCTATATTTAGTTCTTAAAAATTGTTTCTTCCTGATGATTTTCAACCAACATTTATACATCAGCAGATCTTAATTAAATTAGTGATGCTGTATTAGTTCAGTCAGTATAGTGCCTAGGTTACAAGCAGGCAAGATTTTTCTCTATGCCGCATTGTCCAGACCAGCTCTTGGGCGTGCCCTGCCTCCTATCCAGTGGGTACTGGGGTATAAAGCTTACTCTTGAAATTATTCATTGTCAGGACTTTTTCCATCGTCTGTTCTTTAAAACCACGACGTTTCAGAGGTTGGTTCTGCCTCCGTCTTCAGGTGAGAGGTACCTACTCTGTTGGGTCCATTAGATAGAGCTAGTCTCTGTCACTGGAATTTTAAGTGTAAACTACCGTCGTCAAAACCCTTTGGAATTGAATAAAGCTTACTGCTCGCCTCCTCCTAGTGCTAAGGTTAAGATTGTATGAAGCTATATGTCCGCTCCACCATACACGTACATGGTGTTAGGTTAATTAAATTTATTAGGAATATTTGAGTATTCGTTAAAGAAGTAGAAATTTATTACAGACAAAAGAATCAGTAATCAGTATGCATAAAGACAAATATAAGCACTGAAATTAGAGTACATGTTTTTGCTCTTTGTCTGCCGTTGCAGGAAGCTATGGGTGGAAATGTGTTCATCATCTTTACCATCCTGCTGGCTCTGTTCGTCCTGTTCGTTTACAAGAAGGTTCCTGAAACGAAGAACAAGACAATAGAGGAGATCAGCTCCATGTTCCGACAGATTTCTTACCAGTGAAGCGGTGTGGATTATGTGGTTTAGAACTTGGAAGAGTGCTGCTGTCTGATGTGCAGCATCTGTGGCGAAGTTCTCAAGATGACCCTTAATTGTGATGTCTTCTCTTCATTCGTGTTCTTGTGCTGAAATATTTGCTGTTTGCGAAGAATAGGTTAGTGGCAGGGAAAATGACCTTTTTCCGTAATTTTATAAATGTGGAAAAAGGAATGAAGTATAATTTCTTTAAGACTTCACCTACTTTTTTAATATCCACAAGTTCTCTTTATGTCGGAAACAGGTTGGCTTATGTGTACTTGCGTCTGATCTCAGTAAAGAGATGCCTGTGACGTGGAGTTTAAATGATATTTAGTCACATATATATCTCCATTTGTATTTGTCATTTAATTTATATACATGTAATAGAAGAATAGTATTTTTATAAACAAGCAAATTTTTTAGCACATTTACCAGCTATTGAAGATGAACGTTACAGGTCCGATTAATACGAAGTGATGAACAGTCTTTATACAGGGAAATTTGCATGTGTGGAGACAGCAGCAGTTATGATGCGCTGACGTCGGAACATACTTGCTCTCAGAGCCAATGTAATGGTTTATACTGATGGTTGCACCAACATCTTGTACATTGTAAACTTGTTTAATCAGTATTTGTACTGTCATATTTTTCTGGGCTGTTTGAGGTATCAGCTTCAAGCCATTTGGCCTTTTTTCCACCCCTTTCTTTATTTGAAGTAATTGCAATAGTCTGATTGCTCAGTTCGGAAACATCATGGAAAATACTTATTCTTAAAGAGTCGATCAAATGACTCTACATATAGAAACTTAAGCAGGAGGGATGAATCTTCAGAATGCTCTTTGCTGTATTTGAATCCACTGCAAACAAAATTCAGCATCCCCTACTCTCGAGTCCAGCACGATGCCAGTGCACACGTAAAACCACAAGTGAGTAGCAACATTGTGATAATGTGCTGGGTGTCCATATCTGTTGATGACCTCAAGGGTGGTGATAAATGATGATGAAAGGTTGGTATAATGGTGAATGGTGAGGGAAAGTTGATGTAATCAGAGAAAGCCTGTCCCAGTGCTACTTTGTTTGTCGGAAATCCAGGAAGGACTACCTGGGATTGAACGTGGTACTCGGTTGTTGGACACGAGTGCCTAATTGTCGGTGGTGACGAACTGTCCGAACATTGTTTTAGTCGCTCTGATATGAAAATAAAGCAGTCAGTAGGATTAGATAAAAGTTAATGTCGTAATATATTTTTATAATTGCTGAGCTTATTTGATAGTGAGTTTCGAAAGATCTTTTTGAAGCATGTTATTATCCGATCATGTTTTCTCTGCATCCAGTCTAAGACACATTTTCTAGATTTATAGTTGGTGTACCGTCTTGGTCAAAGTGTTTCAAACCGTGGGCTAGGCTGAGTTGTTGGTGTGCCATATTGGACATCTCTGCCAAAATGTTGACCATAATTTATCATTTGTTTCTCAACCAACCTGCATGCCATGAAATTTTTAGTCCAGTTGCATTTCTACACATTGACAGCAGTTCAGAAAGTGTGGTAATAGCAGTGACATTTTGTTTAGCCCTGTTCTGTCTTGTCATTGACCCGTGTTGCTATTTCTTTGTTATACCTTGGTATTTTTCATCATGTTTGTTTTGTACCAATGATATTCTTGCCCAGAATTTATATCTTTAATTTTAATATTTTCCTGTGCTCCTCTCTTCATTTATTACTTGTTCGTAAAATATCGTCCATCTGTTACGTCTCTCTGCGAACTGTAATGCATATCATAATGAACTATATAAATTAAAGTGTAACAGTGTATGGTATGACAGGAATTTGATGTGCTTTGTGCTGTGCAGTATTTTAGTGTGCAGAGGTTGGGAAGCCCTGATCTTAATAAATTGAGATGTCTGCGTTATTCAGTTAGGGCTTTTATTTTTGTACAAAGTAGCATCGGGCTGAAATAAAGTTATACTCGAGAGTGGCAGCGTGAAAACTGTTTTACCAACTTTTTATTTTGTTATCATTCATATTTACAGTTGGAAGAACTTTATTGTTTTAATTATAGGTTACCTAGAACTGTATGTTAGTTTTAAATTTTTGTACCGTCTTGGCTAATATTTTTTATGTTAGTATGTAGCTAGTCAGATGTCAAGGCGCCTGAGTCGAGGGTGCTGCACTGAAGCACTTCGTGTCATGCTGTCCTCAATTTGATCAAGAACTGGTACTTGTACACTTTCATTTCTTATTTTACGTTTATACTCGATAAAAATTTAATTAGAAATTTGATGTGGAATTGAACCCAGCTCATAACCAGTCATGTTTGTAATGATGTCTTATAGGGAGCTGATTCTTTCTGCAGAATAGAGCCAATTATCTTGATCATACTTGGGAAGTGATTGTGTTTAATTGTTCTCTAAAATGTCATCGGAACAAAATTTGTTCTGTTAATGAATGCTGTGGGTCCTGCAGTGAGTGCTGGTCTATAGCGGCATTACCATCTGCAGACTCGTGAAAGAACCCTCTATAAATGAACCATCAGGACTGTTTCTAGACAGAAAATTGTGGACGGGATGTGTGCATTCCAACAGGAGTGGGCAAAGTTGCTCAGGCTCTGTGTATCATTGGACATAGCAACATCGATGCACATTACAACCAAAGAGGTAGAATAATTCTCTGAAGTGTTGAGCAAGTTCTTAACTTTTTTCTGAGTACATTTTTTTTTTGTAGATATAAATGTGCATATTTTTACACAATCAGCGACATGAATATCCAATTACACAGGGTTTGAGGTTCTCAAGCAAAAGTTTTGACTATTGTCTTCTGGGTTGGGATTTTGTAGATGGTTACAGAGGAACTATCACTTCCATAATTACCTCCTGTGAAATGCTGGTAATCACCTACAAGACCATAATGACATGTACATTTAAGTTTGATTGTCTTTGTGACGTGTGTCATGTTACTGTTTTTGTTTATTTTGTGACAGTAATTTTATATTGTATACTGTTTGGATGATACGCAGCCCGTAGAACTGTTGGTCCACAGCTTGCCCACTCGTGACTGTCAGCTGGTAGCTGCTTCAGCCTCTGCTTCCAGAGAGAAGCGTAACTGTGTCATTTTTAACATAAACTTGTAACTTATAGGTGGTGAATTATCATTTGTATATAGTTTTTATTGAGAAATTTTAGCTGTGAGTAATTGGTAGTAATGTGTATGAAAGAGAGTGTAATAAGGGAAGAATGCTTGATGAATATATTGAAGAAGTGATTGTGTAAAGATTTATTCTTGTTCTTACACTTGTCCCTCCACCTCCATTTCATAACTTAATCCTTCATTCTGCCCTTGAACTTTATGTTGGTTTCCTTCCACATATTTTCAGCTTCATTTCTGCTTTTGGTAATGTCTGATCTTAAATGTTCATTAGAGTCTAAGTAACTTGTCTTTTAAGTTAGAAAGTTAGAGGTTCACTTCTATTGAATCAATCCTGTTGGTGGACTGTAATCTTGGAATTGCAAGCAGTGTAATTGAAATACTTTTTACATGATTACTCCAGGGTTGTTCTCTAAAGTAGGGGTGTACAAGTTGTTGAGAATGCACGTGTTTCAAATATTATAATACCACTCTGGTTGACATTCTAGAGCACTATATTTCTGATGTGATCTTGATGTTTTTCTGAATTGTATATTAGTATTATTTGCAAAATTATCTAAGTAATTTTATCTGAGTGCTAAAAGGGAGTAATTTTAAAGATTTTTTACTGCCCAAAAATTTTGAGTAGATTAGATGCACTCTTTAACGACTTAGTTTTCATAGCCAAGTTTTGAAGAAAAATTACAGATAGGTTGGCTCGGTGTAGTGTCCTTGATTGTAAGAACACCCAACATCCAATTTTAAAGAGAGGAGGTAAGTAGATTTGAAAATATTTCAAGCATACATTATACCATATATTCATAATAAGATAATGCTGTTATCTAGATTTCATTTTTATGCTATGTGATTAGAATTTTTGTGAAATTACAGAACTTTGATCAATTAATTCACAGAGAATGATAATTTGTGGTGTGTTCAACATTGGCTATGTGTACCAACAAATTACGTTCCAGTCATGATACTTCTTTGTTGATGGGATAGCGTAATGGCAAGGCAACAATTGAAAGTGCCTTCTTTTTGCATTTGAAGGAATGCAGATGTTGAATTAGAAATGTTCTGTGGATTGCTTTCTGATCATTATGAATATTTATCATGTTCATGTGTATGAATGAGTTTGTGTACTGTGAACACACGTAACGTTTGGTAATATGTGAACCAATATATTCACTGGGGCACTACCCTAAGTGGCCGTACTGGGGAGCAACACCTGTGTAGCATGAACGGGGTATTTGGATTCAAAACACGCGCGATAGGCTAGCGCATGCGTCTAAGCGAATGGAGGTTTTATAAATTTGTGGTGGGGAGTACGAAAACAGGAGGGGACAGTAAGTTCACAATGGCAGCGATGTTTCATAGAAGATGCGGTGAAAGAGTTAGATTAACGAATGGCAATAGAACAGCGGTTCGCAATTTCGCTGAATTTAATTATGGTTTAGTTCTGAGTAGCGAGCCTTTGGCAGAAAATCAGTTGTTCGAAGTTATAATAGATAAGAAGGTGAGAGGGAACGTCATTTTGATGGTACCATGCTAATCCAGTGGTTTGATCAATGATAAGTTGATGTATTTTGACAATTAATGTTCCAGTAATAACTTATTTACAAATCCTTGTAGTCCGCTGTATGGAATTAGAAGACGGTGCATAAATTTAGTTCTAGTACTGTTTAAATGTCATTTCCGGAGGAATGTTCCCAGTAGTTCTGAAAGAGTGGCATTGAAATACTCTTTCATGTAGTGTCTTTGTTTTACCCAAGTGGTAGATTTACTTTGTTATAATTTACAAAAATGACGCAATTAGCGTAATTTTGATCTGGATTAGAGGCGGTCTTCACAATATGAGAAGTTCAGAGGTTGATTTTCTATTTATTTAATAACACTAGACCACAATAGTATTTATCTAACACCACACCGTCATGGTTATTTAGAATTGAATCAAAAAGTGCATTGATGTCAATGGAAAATTCTGACGGACGCTGTCATTGCATATTTTAAAGTACTGTCTTAATGTTTGCTTGGGGTGTCACGAACACCGCAAAATACTTCATTCTCCAGTTGGGTATTTAATCTTTTTTGCACATACCCCATTAGTGTTGAAAGCAGGTGGCAATCAGATTTTATAGACAAGGTGTCATGTTGGCCAGAAAGTCAAAGTGTAGGAACTGGTAGTTTTTGGTACATTATGTAGTGATGCTGCTGACATGTCTAATCAGCTTTGCTAGTCCCTCCTTCCATTCATCCATTAGTAGTGTGCATGTTTAAGAAGATAGTTTAGAAATTAATTTTTGTGTTTGTAATAATACCAACAGATTTTGGCATGAATGTTCATCTTCAGCTTTTGACGTTTGGTCAGGATGTAATCTGTTTTGTCTGCATTTATTAATCAATGTTTTCCTATTTCTGAATTGGCTTATTCTTAATAATATAATAGAATTTATTTACATTCCTTCGATCCTTCATAGGCCTAAGCAAAGGATGTCAGAGCACAAATACAGTGCTTGTTAATACAGATATAAATTAGTTAGTTATGACAGTAATTGACAGTCAACTACAGTATTGCTGCAAAAATGATTATACAATAAAGCTTGACCACTGTTGCTTCCATGTATTGATAATAGCTGAGAATTTTTGAAGTAAATTCTTCTACGGGGTAGAAGGAATGAGATAGAAAATAGTCTTTTAGTACTGGCTTGAACGTGTTTATATTGTGATTCAGACTTTTGCTGGCAGGGAGGAATACTGTTTAATAGCTTAATTCCAGTATATTAAATTCCATTTTGGTATTTACTGAGTTTAGTATTTGGCACATGAAGGTTATATCTGTATTTTATACTTTTATTGTGGATATCTGAGTATGTTTGAAATTTTGTTCGTTGTCAACTACAAATGATGTTAGTGAGAGCAAGAATTTACTGGCTTGTGGGAAGAATATTAAATTTCTTAAATAATTCCTTATGTGAGGCTCTTCTTTTAGGTCCTGTCATTATTCTAATGATTTCCTTTTGGATGTTGAATACTTTTTTGCTGTCTGTTAATTTTCTCCAGAAAATAATTCCATATATAACATGATCGAATGGAAGTGAGCTAATTACACTAATTTTAAAGTTTCTATTTTCATGAGTGATGTGACAGCCCTCATAGCAAAGCATGCTAAGCTCAGTTAGGGTTAATGTATTGAACATGTGTTTTCCAATTTAGGTTATTGTCAATTTGTAGGCCAATAAATTACTTTTCTTTCTTTAAGGACTCATAACTGCTAAGGGACCTAGAGTTTCTGTTTGTCTCTTCATTAGACTAATTGTGTGTTTGCATCTAATTCTCAGTTAATAACAAACAGTATTAGCCAGACGAACCAATCCATCAGTCCTCCAGGATTGCTGGGGGTTAATCATGAGGCTGATAACCCCACATTGTAAAACCTAATTATTGCGATAACCCGAGGGAGGCCAGGGCCTTACTTGGGCTGTAGTGCCGTTTGATGGATGAATTGTCTCTGTATACCAGGCTGTAATAAAACAAGTTTAATTATGTTTTTGAAATATATACATTATGTTAATTTTTACATGATGAGCATGAATGCCTTGTTTGGGAATATAAGCTTGTTTTTTTATGTTTTTAATACAAAATCAGCTTTAAATCCCTGAATTTAACTCCAAGGAAGTTGGTATTTTGGTCATGACATTGATTCATCTCTTCAGCAGTGATGACAGTGTTTAAGCAGAGCTGTTGTTATTTAATACATCGTGTTAACATACAGAATCGAGACAGCGGAACTCAACTTTCTGTCATGTTTCTGAAAGTTAAAAATATCCTTGCAAAAGTGAGTTCCCTGTTTTCTTATTATTTTACCCCAGAAGTTTATTTTAATTTTTATGGATACAAAATGATTGAATTACTTAGGGACACATGTCGATTACTGAACCACATAGTATCAGATGTATTTGTTATAGTGATTGCAGTGAGGGAAATTGGAACCATCCTTGATGTACCTCATGAGGATAGTTAATGCTCGCTGTTTGTCGGAAATTGCTTTGAGGCTGGTGACCTACATTTTGACTTTCCATGCAAATTTATCTATATGCTTATACTGCATGGTTATCTTAGTATTGTTTTATAAATATTTGAGGTTATGTATCGTTGATTGGTGAAGTCTGTGATGAAGAATGTTGACACAGTGATGCAGGTTGCAGTCTGATATAAGTTGTGATTGCATCATTTTTGACTACTTTTAGAAATATTGAACAAATTATATAAAGTTTTTTCTTCTTCAAATGTTTAAGCCGAGTGGTTAGCACTCCTGCAGAATGCTGCTGGGGAAATAGCTTAGAAAGTTGCCAGTTTGATGACTGTTTTATGTGAACGGATAACATTATCCATGTTGAGGTTTGAAGGAAACACCTGAGGGTAGTCTGTACCCTCCTGTTGACAGTCGTCAACTATTTTCAGATTAACTCATGGAGTGGGAGCGTGGAGATTGGTGTGACAACATGTGATCCAGATTCCTTAGAATTCCCTTCCTGTGCCACAGATCTTCGTGATGGTTCATGGGTGAGATTTTTCAATTTTTGTAGCATTGTCTTCCCCCCTTCTTGTTCTGCCCAATGTACAGATGAGGTCGTTTCTTTAATGTAGGACCACACTAGACATTTCCAGTTAGGTGCACAGTTTAAACCTTTGAAACCAAAGTTTATGTATATAATATTTAAAAATTAATCTTTTTTCCTCAAGCAAAAAAACAACGTGCTTTCATTACAAAGATCACTTGGTTGATGCTGTTTAAGGAAATCACTGTTTATACTGAGCATCATATGAAACCCATGAATACACTGTGGGTCATGCAGAATTATATATTCCATAATATAATAATGACCGCAGAAATTTAGGGCTGCATGTGGAAGAAATCCCACGGAATTTTCAGATCATGGTAGTGGCATATGCTCCTAATTGTGAAGGATGGGTTGTGGGTTGAAGCCCCAGCAGTTGGAAGTTTCTCTTTGCTCTTACTGAGTACAGATTTGCTTTCTGTCATGCTGCTGTGTTGCAACTGGATCTCTGTGTTGCAATTACGTCGTTCCAGATCATGACGGGCAACTCGATCCTGAAGGATGGGAGGTCGGTGGTCGAGGTGTACG